TTCCATGGCAATTATAATGGGGAAAGTTAGCTAAAAACAAATAAAAATTACTGTTCCATTTAACCATCGCTGAATAACAAAATACCCCAGAACGTAGTGGTGTGAAACAACAACCTTTTAATTTTATGATTCTGTGAGTCAGGAATTGGAACAGGATTGGTGAATATCTGCTTCATGATGAACTGGGGCCAAAAATGAACCAGCTGGAACAGCTGGAGATGGAGGGGAGGGGCACCAAGGGCCATATATCTAAGGCTGGTGGTTGGTATTGTGGATTTTGAATAGTGTCCCCCAACTAAAATATGTGTTGAAATTCTAGCCCCTGGTATCTGTACATGTGAGCTTATTTGGAAATAAAGTCTTTGCAAATGTAATTGACTTTTTTGTTTGTTTGCTTGCTTGAGACTGAGTCTTGCTCTGTCACCCAGGCTGGAATGCAGTGGCATCATCTCGGCTCACTGCAACCTTCACCTCCTGGGTTCAAGCGATTATCCTGCTTCAGCCTCCCAAGTAGCTGGGATTACAGGCATGTGTCACCATGCCTAACTAATTTTTGTATTTTCAGTAGAGATGGGGTTTCACCATGTTGGCCAGGCTGGTCTCGAACTCCTGACTTCAAGCGATCTGCCCACCTCAGCCTTCCCAAAGTGCTGGGATTACAGGCTCCCTGCCCAGATGTGATTAACTTCTAACCGCTAGTATCTTTGCATGTGACTTTATTTGGAAATAAGGTGTTTTTTTGTTTGTTTTTTGAGACAGAGTTTCACTCTGTGGCTCAGGCTGGAGTTCAGTGGCACAATCTCAGCTCACTGAAACCTCTGCCTCCTAGGTTCAAGTGATCCTCCCACCTCGGTCTCCTGAGTCACTGGGACCACAGGCAAGCGCCACCACACCTGGCTAATTTTTGCAGTTTTTGTAGAGATGGGGTTTTGCCATGTTGCTCAGGCAGTCTCCAATTGCCACCCTCAAGCAATTCATCCGCCTTGGCCTCCCAGAGTGCTGGAATTATAGGTGTGAGCCATGGCGCTTGGCCAGAAAGTCTTTGCAGATTTAGTTAAATTAATGACTAAATGATTCCATGCTGAGTTAGAGTGGGCTCTAAATCCAATGATTGATATGGGGTTATAAGGAGAGATATTTGGAGACATAATCACACTTCTAGGGAAGGTAGCCATGGGAAGACAGAGGGAGGGATTACAGGGATGCAGCTACAAGCCAAGGAATGGCAGAGATTGCTGGCAGTCCCTCAGAAGCAAAGGAGAGGAAAGGAAGGGTTCTTCCCCCGAGACTTTCTAATTTTTCTTTTTTTTTTGAGACCGAGTCTCACTGTTGTCAGCCCCAGCTGGAGTGCAATGGTGTGATCTCGGCTCACTGCAACCTCTGCCTCCCAGGTTCCAGCAATTCTCCTGCCTCAGCCTCCGGAGTAACTGAGATCACAAGTGCCCGCCACCATGCCTGGCTAGTTTTTGCATTTTTAGTAGAGATAGAGTTTCACCCTGTTGGCCAGGCTGGTCTCGAACTCCTGACCTCAGGTGATCCCCCCGCCTCCGCCTCCCAAAGTGCTGGGATTACAGGTGTCAGCCCCCGAGACTTCAAAAGCATGGCTCTTCCCCTGACACTTTAAAAGCTTGGCTCTTCCCCTGAGACTTCAACACCTTGGTTTTGGACATTTAGCATTCAGAACTGTGGGAGAACAAGTTTCTAGTGTGTGTGTGTGTGTGTGTGTGTGTGTGTGTTTTCATTTTATTTTATTTATTTATTTATTTTAGACAGCGTCTCATTCTGTTGCCCAGGCTGGAGTGCAGTGGTTCAATCTCTGCTCATTGCAACCTCTGCTTCTTGGATTCAAGCGATTCTCATGCCTCAGCCTCCCGAGTAGCTGGGATTACAGAGGAGCACCACCGCAGCCAGCTATTTTTTTATTTTTTATTTTTTGGACTTTTAGTAGAGACAGGGCTTCACTGTGTTGGCTAAGCTGGTCTCAAATTCCTGGCCTCAAGTGATATGCCTGACTTGGCCTCCCAAAGTGCTGGGTTTACAGGTGTGAGCCACCACACCTGGCCTAAGTTTCTGTGTGTGTTTTTTTTTTCTTTTGAGACGGAGTCTCGCTCTGTTTCCCAGGCTGGAGTGTAGTGGCGTGATCTCGGCTCACTGAAAGCTCCGCCTCCCGGGTTCACGCCATTCTCGTGCCTCATCCTCCTGAGTAGCTGGGACTACAGGTGCCCGCCACCATGCCCGGTTAATTTTTTGTATTTTTACTAGAGACAGAGTTTCACCGTGTTAGCCAGGATGGTCTCGATCGCCTGACCTTGTGATCCGCCCGCCTCAGCCTCCCGAAGTGCTGGGATTACAGGCATGAGCCACTGTGCCTGGCCGAGTTTCTGTGGTTTTAAGCCACCTCGTTTGTAAGATTTATGTGTGTGTGTTTTAAATTTTTTATTTTAAATTATTATGGATACATAATAGTTGTGTATATTTATAGGACATATGTAACGTGGTTTTGGGTTTTAGTGTTTTGTTTTGTTTTTTTTTTTTTGAGACAGACTCTGGCTCTGTTGCCCAGGCTGGAGTGCAGTGGTGAGATCATGGCTCACTGCATCCTTGACCTCCTGGGCTCAAGTGATCCTTCTGACTCAGCCTCCCATGTAGCTAAGACTATAGGCATGCCCCACCACATCCAGCCAATTTTTTTTTTTTTTTTTTTTTAGTAGAGATGAGGTCTCACTGTGTTGCACAGGCTGATCTTGAACTCCTGAGCTCAAGAGATCTTCCTTTCTCACCCTCCCAAAGTGCTAGGACTACAGGCGTGAGCCACTGTGCCTGTCCTTCCGTGATGTTTTGATATGGGCACACAATGTGTTAGTTTATAAAGTTTGTAATAATTTATCACAGGCTGCCATAGGAAACTAATATAGCTGAGTTTCCTGGTTCTTCTTTATATCACATCTGCTGGGGCTACATGTCCAAGGTGGCTTCTTCACCCACTTGTCTGATGCCTGGGCTGAGATGGCTGAAACATCTGGGGCTCTATCTCCACATAGCATTTATACGTGAGTAGCCTGGGCTTCCTTACACCATGGCGGTCTCAGGGCAGTAGTACTTTTACATGGCAACCAGTTTCGCCAGAGTGAGCGTTCTAAGATTCAGAAAGTGAGAAATGACAGTTTCTTAAAGCTTGATTCAAGAACACAGCACAGCAAAACTTCCACTACATTCTACTGGTCAAAGCAGTCACAGAGTCACTCATACTCAAGAGGCAGAAGTACAGACCTCACCTCTTTAAGCCACCACAATGACAGGTGGTGATATGTGATTAGAGAAAGCCCTAAACAAGAACCTTGTCCCTCACCTACCCCCAAATACCAGGGAAAAGACGTCTTTTTTTTTTCTTTTTTTTTTTTTTTTTTTGAGATAGGGTCTCACTGTGTCATGCTGTGGTGTGATTTTGGTTCACTGCAACCTCCTCCTCCTGGGTTCAAGCGATTCTCCTGCCTCAGCCTTCCGAGTAGCTGGAATTACAGGCACCCACCACCTTACCCGGTTAATTTTTGTTAATTTTGGTAGAGACGGGGTTTTGCCATATTGGCCAGGCTGGTCTGAAACTCCTGACCTCAAGTGATCTGCCCACCTTGGCCTCTCAAAGTGCTGGGATTACAGGCGTGAGCCACCACAGCCAGCCGAAGATGTCTTATTTTTTTTTTCTTCATTAGCCACAAGGCTTGATGGGGAATGTAATTTTTGTCTCCATGGGTTGCCTTAGCAAATGATGGGAAGAAACATGAATTTTTCAATGTTATGCTCCTAGAGTGCCATTGAAATGGTAGTTCTGGCTCTTTTTCTGACAGTCCTGAGGCATCCTGGAAAATAGAGCCCAGCCTTTATCCCCTGTCCCCAGCACATCAGGGGAAGTGCACTCCTGTCCTTATTCCTCACTGCAGTGCATGCAGGGAGTTCTGGCCATCAGATTATCTTCTATCCGTCTCCTGTCCCAAAGTACACTGGGAAATGTGGGGATGTCTCCTTAGAACAACAAAATAGTTGCAATCTTTGAAGTTTAGGAGACTAGAAGGTTAGTGTTCAGTGTGTGAGCTGGAAGGTTGCATTTGTAAGAATTAAAGAAAGAGGAGGTCAGGCGCGGTGGCTCATGCCTGTAATCCTAGCACTTTGGGAGACCTATGTGGGCAGATCACCTGAGGTCGGGAGTTTGAGACCAGCCTGACCAACATGGAGAAACCCCGTCTCTACTAAAAATACAAAATTAGCCAGGTATGGTGGTGCATGCCTGTAATCCCACCTACTTGGGAGGCTGAGGCAGAAGAATTGCTTGAACCGGGAAGCAGAGGTTGTGGTGAGCCGAGATTGTGTCATTGCACTTCAGCCTGGGCAACAAAAGTGAAACTTCATCTCAAAGAGAAGAAAAAGAAAACGAAACAGGAAAGAAACATGAAATGTGGCTTGACAGTGAAGGACAGGTTTATTTTAGAGAAAACAAACCTGAGAGGGGCTTTTGGCTGAGTTAAGTTAGAGAGCCCCCCCTTTTTTTTTCAGACTAAGGATATTTAGGGGTTTTGGAAGGGGGCGCTTATCATAGGTCCAGAATGTTTTTATGTGAGGAAAAGTTTATCGCGGGGTTAGAAAGTCTCTGGTCGGAGGGGAGGCTATCTGGGGGTTGGCATGTTTTTGGTCAGAAAGGGGTTTATCTTAGAGTTGGAATGTTTCTGGTTATGCTGACATTAGCCATTAGGCTGATGTTTTGGGGCTGGATTTAGCTGATTTTTAATCAAGGGGATCTAAGAATGGTGGTGTTTGTTCAAGATGGCGATGCTCCTGCTCTGTCAGCATTTGCAGTCCAGAAATAGATGTGGAGGCAGCCCCCACAAGGACTTCCAAGGTAGGCAGGGGCCTCAAACATGACCCCTGATTCCAGGAGCCTGTGGAAAGGTGTCCCCCACCATTTATCCTCCCAAAGATAGACACTACAAAGAAGGGCAGACCTGGCCTTGTTCACTGGTACAAAATCTTTATTTAAGTATAAAATAAATAATATGAATATTAATTAATAACAATGACAACACAACAGCGGCAACAATATTAATAATAACAAGAGCTCTCCCATTGGCCCATGGCCTTCCTCCAGCTTTTCTCTTCTGCTTCGCACAACTTTGTGATAGCTGTTTTCACAGCTGGCAAAACTGAAGCTCAGAGAGGTCAGCACACTGGCCTGAGGTCACACAGCAAGTCTGTAGGGCTGGAGCCAAGGGAAGGGCAAGGGGTCCCCTGGATCCAGCCAGGGCAGAGAGGGGGGTTTCAGGTTTAGGTCCAGAGGAGAGTGCCTCCCCACAGTCTGGCAGTCATTAACAGAGTGATGGTGAGGCTGAGATGGGCAGGGCCAGGCTGGGGAGCAGCCGCCTTGCGGTACTGGACATCCAGGTCTGGGTGGTTACAGCCACTTTCAGTACAGCAGGAGACATTGATGTGGTTCATGCTGAAGGCGTCACCCAGGTGGGCACATTGGCACATTGAGGCAGTTACACAGCCTCTTACCATATAGCTTTGGTTTTTCGGTTCTGAGGAAAGAGAAGACGGAGTGAGACTTCCAGCTCCTGGGCCCAGGACTGGAATTCTCCAGTAGGTGACCTGCCACCTTGCAGTGGGCGCCACCTTCACTACCACCTAGAAAAAGCAGCAGTTCTCAGGGCCAGGTGCGGTGGCTCATGCCTGTAATCTCAACACCTTGGGAAGCCAAGGAAAGAGGATAGCTTGACCCCAGGAGTTCCAGACCAGCCTGGACAACATACCAAAACTCTGTCTCTACAAACATAAAGTAAAAAAGCTGTAGTCCCAGCTACTTGGGAGGCTGAGATGAGAGGATCACTTGAGCCCAGGAGATGGAGGCTGCGGTGAGTTATGATCATGCCACTGCACTTCAGCCTCGGCAACAGAGTGAGACCCTGTCTCAAA